AAAATAAAATCAATCAATTATAAACACATCACACATTAGATTAAAATAAAATCAATCAATAAATCACATCACACATCAGGTTAAAAATAAAATCAATCATTAAAATACATCACACATCAGGTTAAAAATAAAATCAATCAATAAAATACATCACACATCAGGTTAAAAATAAAATCAATCAATTAATAAATCAAATCACACATCAGGTTAAAAATAAAATCAATCACTAAAACATCACACATCAGGTTAAAAATAAAATTAATCAATAAATCACATCACACATCATGTTAAAAATAAAATAAATCAATAAATCACATCACACATCAGGTTGAAAATAAAATCAATCAGTAAAATACATCACACATTAGGTTAAAAGTAAAATCAATCAATAAAATACATCACAGATCAGGTTAACAATGAATAAATAAAACATTACACATCAGGTTGAAAATAAAATCAATCAATAAATCACATCACACATTAGGTTAAAAATAAAAATCAATCAATAAAGCACATCACACATTAGGTTAAAAATAAAATCAATCAATAAAGCACATCACACATCAGGTTAAAAATAAAATCAATCAATAAAGCACATCACACATTAGGTTACAAATAAAATCAATCAATCAATAAAGCATCACACATCAGGTTGAAAATAAAATCAATCAATAAATCACATCACACATTAGGTTACAAATAAAATCAATCAATCAATAAAACATCACAAATCAGGTTGAAAATAAAATCAATCAATAAATCACATTACACATTAGGTTACAAATAAAAGCAATCAATAAAATACATCACACATCAGGCTTAAAATAAAATCAATCAATTAATAAAACACATCACACATTAGATTAAAAATAAAATCAATCAATAAATCACATCACACATCAGGTTAAAAATAAAATCAATCATTAAAATACATCACACATCAGGTTAAAAATAAAATCAATCAATAAATCACATCACACATCAGGTTACAAATAAAATCAATCAATTAATAAAACACATCACACATTAGATTAAAAATAAAATAAATCAATAAATCACATCATACATCAGGTTAAAAATAAAATCAATCAATTAATAAATCACATCACACATCAGGTTAAAAATAAAATTAATCAATAAATCACATCACACATCATGTTAAAAATAAAATAAATCAATAAATCACATCACACATCAGGTTAAAAATAAAATCAATAAATAAAACACATCACACATCAGGTTAAAAATAAAATCAATCAATAAAATACATCACACATCAGGTTAAAAATAAAATCAATAAATAAAACACATCACACATCAGGTTAAAAATAAAATCAATCAATAAAATACATCACACATCAGGTTAAAAATAAAATCAATCAATAAAATACATCACAGATTAGGTTAAAATACTTCACACAATACTTCATCCTGTAATTTAAACAAACAAACAAATAAAAACATATCATTTCAGCATGCAACCGAGAAATTTCAATACATATTATGACTCTTCCACCTGCATCAAATAGTTAATAAATACACTCAGTACCATAGCTGGTAAAACTGTGATCAATTACTAAATGATGATAATCATGATAAATAAAAGTATACATCTAGGGCATACCTGTAAACTTGATGGACAATGGTCAAGGAGATCTAACATATGTAGGATGTTTTGAGGCTTCTGGATCACAAAATTTAACTCCATGTCAAACTCTCCATCAACCAGCTATAATAATGAGACAGAAAAGGACAACCTTAAATTAACATTATTTTTTACTAGATAAGATAATTACATATTTGTTTTTGTACAAGAAGTATATCAATGAATTCCTAAATGAGACAGAACATGAACATTCTGTAAAATATATATTAGAAAAAAATAGATAAGAAATAACATTTCGTACATCAGTGGACAAGTATAACTTATCGGATGAGTGAAAATTAAAACTGTCAGGGGAATAAACATAACTTTTCACATGTGTGAATACTGAAACTGACAGGGAGTAAGTATAACTTTTCACGTGTGAACACTACAACTGTCAGTATAACTTCTCACATATGTGAATACTGTGAACTATCAGTAAGTATAACTTCTCACATGTGTGAATACTGAAACTATCAGTCAGTAAGTATAATTTTCCACAACTTAACTCTCAAACTATCAGTGAATAAATATAACTTTCTACACGAGAGTTTACACATTGAGAGCTCACTAGTAACAATAAATACTTTACCAAAAGTCTCCACACGAAACTGGTTGTTGTGTCCTTAATTAGGCTATAACTGTCTTGTAATAAAAGTTAATAATTACAGTATTTCGTTACGTTTTGCCACTGGAGATAATGAGACCTGCACTTCTGACAAATTATCTTCTCCCACTTCGTATTTCACTGAGCGCTCTATTATGATCCCCATATGGCATGCTCAGCTCACATTCCAATTAATAAAACAATACACCTGACACTCGCTAATGACTTGATTAATTATTTTACTCAATACACTGTTTTGTTGGACTATTTAGCTTTGTAAAGTTCACAAATTAATTATCAAACATTGGCTAAAGTTTAATCCTCGTCTAATACTAATTTACATGTAAGAGGCTCATCTTTCTAGTTTCCTAAGCCTTATTTTATACGTCATTAATTATGAAGAAAGGAAGGGAGACACGTGCCTACAAGAATCGCTTCGAGAAAGAGAAAAATCGACGCGGTATCTTTTTCTTGACAACCGGTAATAAACAGAAACTTATCTCGCAATAAAAATCTAATTTGTTCTGACTTCACAATCAAGTCACCAAGTGCGCCACATCGACAAGTTACGTTTCTGGACTTAACGAATACTTACTTCTACATTTATTCGTCATCTTCCATTTTAAGAAACTGTATTTTTATCGTAGTGCTGCACGAGAATAAAACAATAACAATTAATAACTCGCATTTCTTCACTTGACAAAACCGTAAAGTGTTACACAATCCTGCTCATTACCTACATCAGTCCGCCGATGGAACAGCGGTAACTTACGGACTTATAACACTAAAATCCGTGGTTCGATTCCCTGCGATGGACATAGTAGACAGCTCGAGAAACAAACTTAACATCTACCGAACCGCGGTGGACATAGTAGACAGCTCGAAAAACAAACTTAACATCTACCGACTGCAGTGGACATAGTAGACAGCTCAAGAAACAAACTTAACATCTACCGAACCGCGGTAGACATAGTAGACAGCTCAATAAACAAACTTAACATCTACCGAACCGCGGTGGACATAGCAGACAGCTTAAGAAACAAACTTAACATCTACTGA